AGGTCCCGCGGGGTCCAGGGGGAAGGGCCCCTCAGCTGGGTCGGCCGAGTGGACATCAGGAGCCGGGCAGGATGAGCGGGGCCTGGAGTCTGCAGGGGCCCCTGAGCAGGTGGCCCGGCCAGGCCTGGATCTGTCTGCACCTGTCCTCACTACTGAGCAAGGGTCGGACCCACTCAGCATGACCCCCAGAGCTGGGCCACACGCTGTGGCCACACCTGCCCCAGAGCCTGGTCCAGATTTCTCAATGGCTAAGCACGGCTCCATCTACACCCACCTCCAAGCCTCATCCTGACACGGCTCCGTCTACACCCGCCTGCCAGCCTCACCCTGACCCGGCTCCGTCTACACTCGCCTCCAAGCCTCATCCTGACACGGCTCCGTCTACACCCGCCTCCAAGCCTCATCCTGACACGGCTCCGTCTACACCCGCCTGCCAGCCTCACCCTGACCCGGCTCCGTCTACACCCGCCTCCAAGCCTCATCCTGACACGGCTCCATCTACACCCACCTCCAAGCCTCATCCTGACACGGCTCCGTCTACACCCGCCTGCCAGCCTCACCCTGACCCGGCTCCGTCTACACTCGCCTCCAAGCCTCATCCTGACACGGCTCCGTCTACACCCGCCTCCAAGCCTCATCCTGACACGGCTCCGTCTACACCCGCCTGCCAGCCTAGACTGGATGTGGCCCTGCCCCCGCCGGGCAGAAAGGTCGAGCCGCAGGTGGGCTCATCGGCACCTGCCTTGAAGGCGGAGTGTGATGTGGGTGCACCCACCCCGGCCCCCATTCCCCAGGCTGGGCCTGACGCGGTGGAGGCCAAGGGTGCCCCACAGGCCAAGTTGGATTTGGGCTCTGTGGTGTCTTCAGGGGGGCGCCCAGAGAAGCCCAGAGGGGAGCCCTCTGCAGGTGCCCCTGGACACCCCTCGGGGGAGCCCCTGCCAGGGCCTGTCCCAGCCAAGAAGAAGAAAGTGCGGTTCTCTGTGTCCGAGCCCAGCCCCAAGGAGCCAGGGTCAGAAGAGGCCACGCCCCCCCTCTCACCAGCCACAGGCTGGCCCGCTTTTTGCTGGGCCTAGGCTCCCCCAGCCTCGGATCCTGAAGCACCTGCCCCCCCCGGCCGCCTCTGCCGTGGGGGGGCCTGGGTATAAGAGCTGTTTTGCCGTGACTGTCCCCGAGGCCTACGAGTTCTTTTTCTGTGACACCATCGAGGAGGAGGAGGAGGAGGAGGAGGAGGAGGCAGAGGCTGGCGAGGCCCAAGTGCAGTGGCCAGAGGTGTGCGAGTTCTTCTTCCGGGACAGCCGGGCCACGAGGTCTGGGCCCCGGGGGGGCCCCTCCCCGGCCCCCGCCCCAGAGGCCAAGCCTGTGCCATCCGCTCTGCCTGGAGACCCCAGGCCCATTTCCTTCCCCGAAGCCTATGAGCACTTCCTCGGGGCGGACAGCCTGGAGGGCGTGCTGGGGCCGGCTGCCCCCCTCCCGCTGCAGGCCCGGGAGGCCCCCACGCCGGGGCCCCAGGGGGTGCAGCCTGGCCCTGCGCCGGAGCCCAGCCCAGTGGCCACAGAGCAGCTCGACTTGGTGCTCAGGCAAGCAGGTGCGTGTCCCGTGGGCCCCGTGGCCTGTCCAGGTCCTGGGAACACACTGTCCAGAGAGGTCAGCCAGAGGGCCATGGCGGGGGGAGGGGGCAGGCCAGGAGGCTGGTCTGAGCCAGGGGGAGGCCTCAAGGAGGATCTTGGAAGGAAGGAGCAGTTCCTGGCCATCCCAGGACACAGGCCAGGTGGGGCAGCCCAGGTCATTCAAGGGTTTGGCTGTGCACTGACTGTCACCCTGAATTCAGGCCCAGATGACTTGACAGCCTTGCCCCTGGCCTCCAGCAGGGCAGGTACTGGGCAGTGGGCACTCCGTGGCCTTGGTCTCACATTCCTTCAGGAAGGGAGTTTAGGAACCAGGAAGTGGTGCCCAGAGGCAACCGGCCCAAGTCGACCTGACTCAACTGTGCCACACACTGCCTGTGTCTTGGGACAGAGGCATCGCGGGGAAGATGTGACTCAGACATGTCCAGGACGGACGTGTCTCCAGACAGACATGTCCCAGGACGGACGTGTCTCCAGACAGACATGTCCCAGGACGGACGTGTCTCCAGACAGACATGTCCAGGACGGACGTGTCTCCAGACAGACATGTCCAGGACGGATGTGTCTCCAGACAGACATGACCCAGGACGGACGTATCTAAGGGGAGCAGCTGGAGCTCAGAATGTGCTTTCCTTTCCTAGGGGAGCCCTGGGGTCCCCTCACCTCGTTTACCTTCAGCCAGAAGGACATGTGCCTGGTGTTTGTAGCCTTTGCCACCTGGGCTGTGAGGACCTCAGATCTGCACACCCCAGACGCCTGGAAAACAGGTTTGGGGGCCCTGGGGGGAGCGGGGAAGGTGCCCAGAAGTCAAGTGGAGAGACCAGCAGGGGTCAGGGTGCTTGGGGGACACGCGTTTCTTCCCTGACCTTGCTCCTCTCGTGACTGACCCACCGCTCACCCCGCGGGCTTCCTCTCGCCCTTCGAGGCTGGCCGTGCAGGTCAAGTGGTGACCAGGCCGGGAGCTGGCACCCAAGCAGCCTCTGCTTCCCTTGCAGTCCTGCTGGCCAACATCGGCACCATCTCGGCCATCCGCTACTTCCGCCGGCAGGTGAGGCTGGGACGCCGCAGCCCCAGCCCCTAGGAGCCAGGCTCAGCCCAGGAAGACGCAGGAAACGGCCACAGGTGCTCAGGCCGAGGTGCTGCCCTCTGGCCTCGCCCTTTGACCTTTGTGTTCCACGGCAGCGTCTAGAAGGAGCCAGTGTCCTCGGTCCTGGCTTTTTTGGACTCCACCCGAGGCTCAGGCCAGTGGCCGAAGCCCAGGCTGTGCCCACACCTGGGAGGGGAGACTGAGGAGGTTGGGTGGCTGGGGTCCAGCAGGGAGCTGGTTAGGAAGGTGGCCAGGTTAGCAAATGAAGCAGGTGTCCAGTAAAGCTGGAAGTTCAGACAGGCAGCATGTGAGAGTGCTTACACTCAGAAATTACTTGTGGTTTCTCCAAAATCACATGTAACTGGGCGTTGGTATTTTGTCTGGTAATCGAGTTAGAGGGTGAGTGGTGGGATGGAGCAGGAAATCAGAGGGTGTCTGAGCACCTGGAGACTGGGCAGGGGCGGGGCGGGGCTGGCAGGGCCTCCTTGGCCTGTTCGAGCCCTGAACCCCTGTGGCCGAGGTCTCCTGGCTGCGGCCCGAGACCAGGAGCAGGTACCTGGAGGGGCTGCAGGAAGGCGACCCCAGTGGCCCCTGGGGCTGGGGTGTGCAGGGCAGAGCCTGGAGCCCCTCCTGGGGAGAGCCCTGGAGGAGGTTCCAAGCAGCGTTTCATGGTGTCAGGCGGAGGGATGGGACACTGGGCTTGTCCCAGGGCTGAGAGGAGCCAAAGAGCGGGCAGGAGGGTGGGCAGGGGCCAGCGGGCGCTGGAAGGGCATCCAGCCAGGCAGCAAGCACAGGTCCCGGGGCCACAGGGCCTCCTGGCTGTGGGTGAAGAATGTGTGGACACAGACAAATAAAATCTTCTCTTCTTCCTTCTTTAGTCTTTTGTCCACTTCTCCCGAGCAATGCCACCCACCCACATGGGCAACCCTCCTAGCTCTGACCTTGCTGACCTCGGGTCCTCATGACCTCTGGCCTCACATACTCCGACTCTCTGTAACTTCCTCAGCCCTCTGACCTTCACCTTCAGCCCTGCTCCGCTCCCCCTCCCAGGTGAAGCCCCCTCAAGCTCCTCCCTCACACTTTCCCTGGGGGCCGAGGCTCAGCCCCTCTGGGCATCGCGCCCTCATCGGTGGTCCAGGGCGCTGGTCAGGGCATCCTGGGGGGAAGCTGTCCTCCTGGTCCCTCCAGATCCTAGAAAACTCAGGGTTCTGGAGACCCCCTCCACCCCCTGGGGTCAGACCCTGATTGGGTATTGGGTGGGGGTGGTTGGCTGGTGGCCCCACAAAAAAAGACCCAGGCCTTGCTGGAGACCCCCCCAGAGTCGACACTGGCAGGTGGGACTGAGAAGCGGCTCAGATCCACTGGGTGAGCCCCCCCTCAGCCTCAGGCGCTTCTCGGGGCCACCGTCGGCGGGAGGGAGACGGAGCCTGGTCCCAGATGTTGTCATAGCTCCTGGGGGGTCCGCCGTCTGGTGGGAGGGCAGAGGTGTGTGTGTCTTCAGGAAGCGCCACCCGAGCTCCCCCCAGAAGGAGGCAGGGCCTCTCACTCACCTGGGGGAGGCAGCGGGGGGTCGGGCGAAACTTCCCTGGGAGGGGAGACCTGGGGACCCCAAACACAAGTGTGAGAGCCACGCCCTGGGGAAGGGGCTTGGAGACCAGCCCACGAGCTGCCACGGCTGCCTGTAGTGCCCACTGCCCCAGCATCCGCCTCTGTCTCTCCTGCTCCCAGGGGGTCCCTCAGGGCCCACAGAACCCCTGTCCAGGGGCAGGAGGCTACTCACGAGCCGAGGAGAGTCAGGGGGCTGGGGCCCACGGCCCTTGACGGAGCCCCGGTGCCGCTGAGAGGCTCGGGGCTGCAGGGCTCCCTTCCTGGAGAGCAAGTGGGGGCTGGAGACTCCAGAGCTGGGGTCGGAGCGAGGCACGGACACGGGCACGGAGGGGAACGGGCTCGAGGGCTCGGGTCCAAGCGAGCTCTTCATCGCAGCAAGGAACTGCCAGGGAAGTGTCGGTGGGTGACTGAAGCCCTGGGTGGGGCCTGGCGGAGCTGGGGGACCCCTGCCCGCAACCCCCTTTCTCCTCTCGTGGCCTGAGCAGACCTCAGGCTCCCTCTAAACCTCAGGCGGTGGGAACCCCACACCCAGGGGGAGGGGCACGGTCTAGAGTAGACCAACTGTCGCCAACTGGTGGTCCGTGCGGTCCGAAAGGTTGGCGACCGACCGCTGGTCTCGACTCCAAGCAGCAGGATGTGGGCACACCTGGCCCTTCTGTCCCCAGCAGGGCACTGACCTCACCCAGGTCCCGGACGTCTCTGACTTTGTGATGGGAGGTGGCAGGCGGTGTGTAGGGGTCAGCGTACAGGGGGGAGTGAGGTGTCTCTAGGGAGTGGTCTTCGACCTCCGGACCACCCTCCAGGCTCGGCCTGGTCAGCTGCAGGCAAGAGGCAGAAGAGACAGGTTTCCAGGAGCAGGACACCCCGCATCCTCCCTCCTCGAGAGAGGCTCCCAGGTGGTTCCGGGACCTTCCGGGCCTGGGAGACAGAGGCCCGGGAGGCGCCGGGCAGAGGAGAGCCAGGCTCAGGGCTGGGTCAGTGTCTGGGCCCACCTTGGTCAGATCCAGGTGCAGCGGGGTGGCCGGGCCAGGCCCCTCGCCCCGGGCCTTGCTCCTGGGTGACCGACTGCTGCCGCCCCGTCTTAGCTCCGCCTTCTGCCCACTGACGCTGGTCCAACCAGGGTTGGCCTTGTCCTGTGGGGAACAGGACTTGCCAGAAGGTTCCCAGAGCCCTATCCCACAATCCTCTGAGTCCCCTCCCCCAGGAGCTGGCATCCCGGGAGGGATGGGGTGCCATGGGGACCCAGGCTCCTCACCACAAGCTCACCTCATGGCCCTGCCCCTACCCCCAGACACTCACAGACGCAGGCTGGGCAGGGCAGCCAGCTGCGGACGGAACTGAGCACTCGGGGAGGGAACGGCTGGTGCGGTTAGAGTGGGGTGCTGGGTACCCCGAGTCCCAGCTGGTCTGTCCATCTGAGGAGAGCGAGCCTCGGCCACTGCCCAGGACCTGGCAGTGGGTGGGGGGTAGTGAGCCATGTGGCAGGACCCTTCTCACCACCGACCCACGGTCTGCCCTTCGTTCCATCACCGCCCACCAGGGCCTGCTGACCCTCACCTGGAGGGGCCCCCGCAGCCCCGGGAAGCCCTCGGGGCCGGGCAGCAGGGGCGCTCCCTCCCGGCGGGAGATGGTCTGCAGGCAGAGCAGCCAGTGGCTGTAGTCCTCGTAGCTGGCGCACAGCACCCGGATGGTATTGATGAGGGGGCCTGGCACACAGACACCGTGAGCGTCCCCAGGCCCAGGGCAGAGCCGGTAACCGCGGGCACCTCCCTCCCAGGCCCGGGCACAGCCCACCTTCGATCAGGAAGGAGCGGATCTGCTTCTCCTTCTCCTCCAGGTTGATGTGGATGGCGCTGAGTGGAAGCTCCCCCTGTGGGGCAGCCACGGAAGTGGGGCCTTTGCCTGGGCCCATCACTCCCCTCACCCTCCAGAGATGAGGATACCAGGCTGGGCGAGGCAGGGCTCCCCATCTGCCCGGGGCATCTCCATGCCTCCCGCTGGCCTCTGGGTGGGGACCTCATCAACCAATGGCAGACAAAGACGCGTGCTCATGGGACGGGTCCCCTCCATCACCGCTGGCTGGGAGGGATGTTGGGGGGACTGAAGCCCCCATGTGTGCTTCTTGGCAACGGAAGACCATGGTCACCCCCAGGTGATGTGGCCAAAGACCCTCCACGGTAACACAGGCGCCCAGACGGGGTCCCTCCTGCTCACAGCAGAGCGGAGACCAGACTGACCAGGGCAGCAGGCTGGTAGGTGGGGCCAGGGTGCTCTGTCCAACTGGCCCCGAAATACAGGTTCCTCCTGAGCTGCCGCCCCCTCCCACCCCTACACACAGGTGCCTCCCTGGGGCGGGTCACGGTGGGACCTACCTTAAAGCAAAGCCCGTCCGCTTCCTCCGAGAAAATGGCCAGGGAAGTCGGGTACAGGACCAGGATCCGGTCCCATCGCTCCTGCCGGGGGTCGAGGGCAGAGTGGAGAGGAGCGAGGGCCTGGCCCCACCTGCTGCCTCCACCCTCCCTCACCCCTCACCCCTCAGCCCGTGTCCCCACCCACCTGTGAGGGCAGATGCTGCAGCTTGACCCTCGAGGCGCAGATGGCGCTGCCCACCACTTGGCGCCCCCATGTGGTCCGCAGCTGGGTCAGCCTGTGCTGCAGACTCCAGGGGAGCTCGTCCTCAGGGGGTCCCTGGGAAACGGGGGTCAGGGCAGGCAGGCAGGGGGGCTGGGAAAGGGGCTCGGGGTGCATGGTACTGACCTGCGGGGGTGCTGAGTGGCAGCGTTGCAACCCTCTCAGGAGGGCCATCTGCTTTTCCAGGTGGTAGAGCCAGCGTCCCAGCTCTGCTTGGCTGGGGCAGACCACCAGAAGGGGGGCAGGCAGTGGGCCTGTGGGCGGAGAGCAGGGGGGGCTGGGCCGGCACCCCCAGGAGAGGCCCCTCCCCAGCCCCCCTCTCGCCCCGCAGACCCCAGGGCTGCAGTTGGGGGGAGAGTACGGCACTAACCAGGACCTGTTGCACTCCTCCCAGCCAGGCACACGGCCATGTGCCCATTGGAAGAAAAGCCAGGATCTCTCAACACTCAGGGTCCTGCCAATGTCCTTGGGCCTGGCCAGAGGGAGCTCTGAGGGAACCAGGTGCTCCCCATCTGCACTGGGGGCACCCTTACCACACGCCCTGGCCCTCTCACCCTCCTGGGCGGGACAGCTCATGCCACACACCTGTGATCTGGAAGGCATGCTCTCTGGAACCCTCCATCGGGCAGATGCTCAGCTCCACCAGCGGTAACAGCCCCTGCCAGAGCCCAGCGGGAGGCTGAGCACCCCCAGGCGCCGTGGCCACCGCCTCGGGGGCTCCTCCCTGCCCGCCCCCCCTAGCCTCCTCCCTCTGCCCACTTCCCTCACCTGGAAAGTGAGTCCCTCAGAACCGTGGGCCTGGAAGTAGAGGTGGGAGGGAAACAGCTCCAGGTAGCAGTCGCTGACATCCTGGGGGAGCAGGGCGGCTGTGTGAGCACCGGGGGGCAGGCCGCAGGCTGGGCCCAGACCCTCACCCGGCCCGGCCCGCACCTGGCTATGCTGGAACCTCAGTTGGACCTTGGCATAGTGCACAACCTTGCCCAGGTTCCTCACAGGCACCCTGCGCCGCCCCTTCTTGAAAACGCTCAGGAACGGCTGGTCCAGGTGTTCTCGCTGGCTCTCCAGGCCCGGGAGGTCCTGCGGGGAGCACAGCTCAGGGAGGCGGCCTGAGCTCCAGTCCACACACACGGCCTCCCTGCCATGGCGGAGACAACGATGTTTGGGCTCAAAGGAGATCCCTAAGCTGTGCACCCTTATTCTGGTTATTGAGCCCCTAAGTCTGGTTGGTCACAGCGTTTTGGGTGTCTGAATGAGACAAGACTCAAAACCCGCCTGGCCCGGCTGGTGTGGCTCAGTGGGTTGAGCATCAACCTATGAACCAGGCGGGAACGTGCTTGGATTGTGGGCTCCATCCCCAGGGCGGGGTGTGCAGGAGGCAGCTAATCAATGATTCTCTCATTGATGTTTCTCTCTCTCTCTCTCTCTCCCTCTCCTGTCTTCTCTGAAATCAATAAAAACATATATTTTAAAAAAAACCCTGAGTCGTCTATTGGCTGGTAAATGTTTACCCTGGGGGGGGGGGCGTGTCTGGTGTATTTGCCAGTCCCTCCACAGGCCATTCTGAGCCACTGTGGTGTCTGTGAATGTGGAGCTTGGAAGAGAGCCCGTGACCCTGATCTCCTGACGTCACTTAGTGGAGCCTAAATGTGCCTGGACACGCTGCCTAGCCCTGGGCCGGGCGGGCAGACACCGGCTTCCTGCCTGGCAATGGCTGAGGGGTCACTGAGGACCTGCCCCCACCCTGACTCCTCCCTCACATCAGGCACATGCCCAGCGCAGGGCCTTCGAGTTTGCTGTCCCTCTGCCTGGGACAGTCTCCGCACCTCCTTCAGGGAGTGGCTCACGTGGCCTCCCGTCACGCCCTGTCTGCCCCTCCAACCTCCCAACCTCCCCGACCCCTCTGCACACCTCAGTGCTAACCGCATCTTCCTCCTGATACCTGGTGCTCATTTGTCCGGCCGTCTGGCTCTGCGTCCCAGGGGTGGGAATGCCCTGAGCCCAGGGGTTTTGTGTGTTTTGGCCACTGCTGCATCGTCAGGGCCAGGACAGGTCTGAGATGTGCTGGGGATTCAGTGCCTGCCTGCCGGAGCCCACACACAGCCAATGCTGGGCACAGAGAGTCCTCCACAAATGGGAGTCAGACTGGGAGTCCGACGGGGCTGCGGCTGGAGGGGGCGCTGTGGGGGCTGCCGTGCCCAGGCTGCCGTGCCCTGGCTGCCTGGCCCAGGCTGCCGTGCCCAGGCTGCCGTGCCCTGGCTGAGCTGAGCCGCCCCTTCGACAAGCCCAGGAATGTGCACAGACAGACGCGAAGCTTCCCGGCCTCCCTGCCTCTGGGTGGGGCCTCCTGCACCCACACCCAGTTTGGGGAATGATGCCGGGATGGGGCTGTGAGAAATAGGCCACCGAGCAGGAAGGGCAGTGACGCCGGCCCTGTGGCCCCGGCTCAGCCGTAGGGTCCAGGGAGGAGTCAGCTCAGAGCCGCCACGGGCAGGACCCGAGGAGAGACGGCTTCTCCGGGGCCCCCTCTCCCGACACAACATGCCGGGGCCCTGTCCAGCCACCCCCAGTCCCGGCAAGAGGACCGCCACACCCAGAGGGACTCCCCCAGGCCCTACGACGTGTGGGCCTGGACATCAGGAGCTGAGGTCAGAGACGGGCCACACGGAACCCCATCCCTCTGAGGAGCACGTTGCTGAAGCCAGTCCTTGCCCCAGGGAGCCCTGGACCTCAGGGGGCAGGGAGGGGCCAGCCTGCTGGGCACACATTGGTGGAAGCCCACACCAGCGGCGACCAACCGAGGCATGCTGGGCGGAGCCCGGGCCCAAGCCCCTGGCACAGTGACACCTGTTCCTCCTGCACCCTCTCTTGAAACGACAACTTGGGGGTCACTTCCCTCACATGTTGGGACCCATGCCAGTCACCTGGAACGCTGGTGTCTCCCCCACAGGGGCTGGGCAGGGGGCGGGGTGACGCTCAGATGGCTGTGCCAATCCTGGCAGTATGGCCCTGGGGTGGGGGTGGGGGCGCCGGCGTTGCTATGGGAGGAGGCAGTGGTGAGGGCTGGATGCTGGGGGACACCTGGGAAGGAACTGAGGCCTGGAATGGGTGCGAGGGGCTCACTGCTCACCAAGCCCCTGACTCGGAGTGGAGAGCGGAGGGGGTGGGATGCACATCCGCCCCAGGAACAGAATCCAAGCCCACACAGGGCAACTCAGACATGTGTGCTTGGTCCAACCCACAGGTGCCTGGACACGCTGGCCAGTCCCCACCCGGCTGCATTTTTTCTTGTAATCTAATAATATATGATGCTTCATTCCCTGCTCACCCACTGACTCAGAGTCGGTCCCAGTTTCGTTCTCAGCTCAGACTTTCGGCCAGACCAGCTTCTAGGGCGGGGCTGCTCCT